ACACATATACTTTATATACATACATACGTATATTTGTATATACATACATACATACATACATACATACATACATACATATATATATATATTTATATATATATTCTATATATAGATATATATAGTATACATATATACTCTATATATATATGTATATATATTTATGAACGTATGTATGTATGTATGCATGAATATATATATATATATATATATATAGATATAGATATAAGATACATATATGTATATATATATAATGTATTCGAATGTTCAATGTGACGAACAGTACATAGCAGTATACTATAACTAGTGAGATATCGCACGGAGTTAGGGCCTACAAGTAGTAAGAAAGTACTAGATAGTGCACTAGGATGACGCGGTATAAACAAGTGCACAAGACGAATCTATGAATGTGGTGGGATAGTCAAAGCTACGCGTAATGTTCAACACATTAGGCGAGAAAAAATTACCCATGTTGAAGAGGTCGGGACGTGTTGGTATCAATGTGACCGCACAGTGCACAAACAACTAGCAAACAATCGCTATAGGAAACAACATGCATGTCAAAACGACACACAGCATAAACACATAGTCTTATAAATAGGCTGTCATCCTAAGATAGCTGAATATTGACGGCCCTTCGCTGCGAACCAAAACTATATCAAAGCTGAATGCATACCCCATCGAGCCCGAGGTCCATAATCTTCGACTCGTACTGTGTAGATACGGGTTTCTGGGTAAGCTCCATAGCTTTTTCGGTTGACCATCCCCCCAATTGTTCTAATCCATCTCCGGTGGTATATAGATGGCCACCGGGCGAGTTAACTACCTTGATGATAAGCGCCATGTTTCTGTGTGAACCGCTTTCGTGTGTGATGCGAATTATAAAACCTTCGTAGGTTGCCAATTAGTCACCTCGACGCGACTTAGGCAAGTCCACTAGCCAACACCTGATACTGTACTGCCGACTCTCTACTAAAACAGACTAGGTTTCTGATACAGCTGACAAACTCTAGCGCTGTGTGTGTGATGAAGCGTGTATACGTATGTGCCTGTACGCATGCAACATAACCTGTTTACTGTGCGTTTGGGATTGTTGGGTTACTGGCTGCTGTTCTAAAGCATTGGATTGCGCTCTCCATCATTTGGATTTTAGGACTAAATTCGGTCAATAGTAAACACTAAAATAGAGTAGACTAAAAAAAATACTCCTCAAACCCCATTACGTTTTTTGTGACTAAAGACCAGAAGGTTGAACGTTCACTTCGATTGGGTCCCGTATAGTTCATATAGGTGCAATATGCGACTTCTCTCAGGTGCAATATATAAGTACTATTTCATCATATAGTCAAATAAGTTGTTATTTTAGGTTAGACACTGTGTGCCACATTTAGCCCTTATAACGCACAAATATCAAAACCTTTTTAACGTATACGTTAAACTACCAGAACGCAATGAGGAGTGCCGGCTATTACTACTACTATTTGTATGTGTTTAAAATGAACGTTGAGCTACATCATGACCGTTGACTCAAAATTGGGTGTAAAATTATTGGTTTTATTTCCTTTCTAATAATATCGCACCGACTGACGCTTCCCATTCGTCAAGCAGCGGAATCAATTTTATTGTTTTATCGTCGTAGTAAAAGGCAATACTAAAAAAATTTAAAAAAGTAAAGAGCCGCCGCCAATAAAAGAAGCCATTCCCGGATCCCCTCATTTTGTGTGGGCACAGGACAGTGAGGGCACAGGTCCGCACTCCACAGCACCATCGCTGATCGCCCTGCTGATGAGTGATGAGTTCATTGAGTTGATGACTGATCAGTGATCACAGATTCTCATAAGTTATAAACAACCCACCAGAAGTGACCAGGTCACCAAGACCAGGCACTGCTGGCAGTGGGCAGTGGGCGGTGGGCAGTGGGCAGTGGACTAGTGCCCTTACTAGTGGGACCTGCGCCACCCTTCCCAATCTGAAATCTCACAAGCCTCAGCCGGTCAGCCCTCAAGCCCGGGTCAAGGGCAAGGCTATTTATGTAAATATGTACAACTATTTGAGAGCTTGAGTCCTGGAGTCCTGGTCCTGGACTCTGCTGGGGCTCTGGAGTCTGGGCCCTCTCGGTTCTATTTTTGCTTTTCCATTTCCACTTGTTGTTTGTGTAGAGGCCTACTCTAGCTAGTAGACGGTCATGTTTTGATTTGTACAACTTTTGTCAGTTAACCAATCAAATCGTTCAGATCAACTGGCGGCCTTTTTTAGACAATTTTTTTTTAAACGGTTTGAGTAATACTATGTAATATGTATATCTTTTATGGCCCCTGGCTGACAGGCGTGATGATTCAGAGTATACATTGAACGTAAACGCATAAAGTATTGATCTTTGTAAATGTTATTGAACGTGTACGAAAGGAGAAAGTATATCTAACCTATATATAAAAATGTTATTTTTATTGAAACAAAAGTAAAAAATTGTAATCTTGATCGACTCAAAACACAATGTAACGGTGAACCTAGTTTTATTTCCTCAATAGTTGAATAAACGTCTACCTTAGCAGAATGAACTTCTTGAATGAACTAAACCACGTATTTATACTCTCTCCGAAGGATTTCCTTGAGAATCCTGCCGCCAATCAAATCGTGTATCTACTCAATTTCGAGCCTACAAGTCCATTCAACATATATCATCATCTGCCAACCTCCGGCTCATATTACCCCGCACTTCGGTTTGCAAAGCACCAATCATACACCAACCTCCTCATATTTCGAGCCTGCGCGGCCGTTCGCCAACAAACCGCACAATACAACTTAGAACTTTTCAAACTTATTAGTTTTCACACTTAGAAGTTACCGCCCACACTTAGAAGTTCTCGCACTCTTATTAACGCCCAGGAACATTACCGAACAGTTCAGTACTTACAACACCAACATTGGTTTAAATCGGAGGTAAATATGGTTGACATTATACCTCCCTGTAATAAGCCGGGCCTCCACATTAGACTCTATGTATAAACGTACTCTTAAGCAGTACGCGAATTATAAACGTACTTTTAATAGGGATAATATTATTTATTTCAAAAATGGCAATTATGTATGATACAATGTATGAACATATGGAATGGCTCTCATAGTCGCTGTAGTGGTTCAGGAAAGATTGATGGGAAGAAGTGGTCAATAAATTCCCGTTTGAAGCTTGGGCCAAGTGAGTCGACAATGGAAGATATGTGCTGAGTCAATTCGGGCCGGTGTTGACAAAATACTGTTACTATCGAATGTTCTATATATTCGCTTGCTGATCTACTAAATAGAGTACCCGCCTCTGTGGTACGAATC